GCAGCTCGGCGGTCGGGAGAGTGCGCAATAGCAACAAGCGAGGGTAAGAGGTGGGTTTAGATAAGAAGAAAGTGTACGAGAGGAAGTGAAAGAGAGAAAGATTGATTGTGTGCGATCGAGTTATTGGATGTTTGTGGTGTGTGTGTGGTGTGTGTGTGTGTGTGTGTGTGTGTGAGTGAGAGAGACTTGGAATGAGGAAGAGGGATGGCGGGGTGGATTGGAGACGGGGGGTGATAGAAAGTGCCCAGGTTGTTTCGGGGTGCGGCGTTTAGTTGGAGGGAGAGGTAGACAAGTGGGAGAAGTCGCTGTTGGAAGCCGAAGTTGGCATGCTAATTCCAACCCAGAGTATCCGCAGAGAAAGAGAGTAGGTGAAAGAGTAAGAGTCGGAGAGTAGGTAGATAGTGGGCAAGGAAGAAGAAGAGAGAGAGAGAGAGGAAACAGGCCAGCAAATGGTTTCCTCGGTCTTGTCTTGCTAGTGTCCTTTGTTAGGTACTCTCGTGTCTTGGTTCCTCGTATGGCTGGAGGGGAGAGCTATTGAAGCTTTTGTCGAACGAACAATTCCCACCGGTCGAAGCAGTTGCTTGGAGAAAGAAAGGAAGAAGGGAAAGGAAGAGGAAGCAAGTGGTCAATGGTGGGAAGGGGGAGTTGAGGTACTTGTTAGGGAAAACGCTCGTTGCAGCCCAGCCTGGTGTGCATCTGTGGGCAAAATGAGAAGAGTGGAAGGAGCGAGGACCACGGGAGTTAGTGTGGACTGCCTGCCACCAAAAAGCAGAGACCAGCGAGAGAGAGAGAGAGGGAAAGAGCAAGAGAGATGCCCGTCAAGTCAAGCAAGAGCGAATGTGTGCGTGTGTGTGTGCGTTGTGGGTGTGTGGGCGGGTACCTAGTGTGAGGTACTTTCCCTTTGGCGATGGGACGTGAAGGGTACATGTAGGTAGGTACCTTACCATCGAGCGTCCGGCAAAGTACCTCGGTCAGCCTGGAGATACTGTGTGCTGACCGGGGATGGGACTGGTACAAGGTTGCAGATGCCCCACAAAACGCGAAAGCAGGGTCCGTCGGTGGGATGGGAGATTTGATGGATGGGAAAGAGAGCGACCGCCGCAGTCACGACTCACTATACCTTAGCATTTTAGGTCCCTTAGTCCCGTCGCAGCCTTCCCCATTACTTAAGGTGCTTGAGTATGGAACCTAAGGCACCTATCCCAAAGAATCTTCCATTCCCATGCGCTGGCTCAATACAATCACCTGCGAAATACATTTGGAGAAGAAGGCTTCGGAACCTGCTCTCCTCGTGACCATAAGAAGAAATCTGGTATTATTCCGCACAACTAAAAGTATATGGTTCTTGTCTTCCAGGCAGCTGTGGGCACCTGGTTCTTCATTACCTTTCACTAAGGTACCTCACCTTACGGGTCACCTTACCTGGGTACCTAGGTACCTTGCTCAGATACGTACCCGAACTTTCCTCGATCCAAGAATTCCCGGGTACGTACACAGCGGCCTGAGATGGCAAGGTCAGTTTTACATGGCAAACATGGCCCGGGCACAGTGCGGCGGCATCACTTGACCGAATAGGAACAAAGTACCTCCAGGGGTCGTACCTCACTCTCTCTGCTGGTCTGAGGTGGTCCACCATTCCTTCCTGTTTCCTTTCTCTCCTCCTTACCTCATCCAATGGCTACCTTAATTAGGTACATGCCTCTTGAGAGCTCCAGTCCGTCACCAATCACTACAGTCTCTTGAACATCCCCGTCCGGGCTGTAGTGGGGGACGGGGGGGCATCACCTTGCCTTCTTCCATGGAGTCCAAGAGGCTCCACGAAACTTGCTGGACTAACGGATACTGAATTCCATCCGTCCTCCTCTGATTGCCAACTTCTTGTTACTTGTTACAAAAATGACAAGTGGTACATAAGGCAGTGAGGTAAGATGATGTATTTAGACCTCGTGCGGAAAAGCGATGGACAGACTGAGTGAGGCTGAGGCACTTTGACACATTTCATGTTCGTACGGATACTTCCCACACCGAGCCGAGTTATGCTACCAAAAGACGGAAGCCTCACCGCGGACGAATTGCCGGACGGAATTAGGACCTAGAGTAGATGACTTGGCGCGAGCACATGACTTGACCTCCAGCTCAGGGAAGTATCCGTACGATCAGGCTGTGCCTACCTGTGTACGGCTTCCGGATAGACTTGGTCAAGATAGGTACGCACCTCACTCGACGGAGAAGAGTAAAACACGGAACTTGAAAGCAGTATTCATATCCAGTTTCCACAAGATCCGCAAGTCACTCGACTTCCGCTGGCCCTTTAGTGCTAGCTGTCCATCCGTACAAAGTGAACGCGAAAAGGCAATAATGGTCTTGCGTTCCATCTTGTCTGGAAATTCCATATATACTTTCTGCTCGCTGTCCTGCATTCCCCTGCCAGAAGAAATAGCGTCTGCTTACGCTACGGTTTCCTTGCTACCTGTAGCCTACAAAGCCTGAACCGCTAATTGACTGCTTTTCAACTTTCCGCCAACAGCTTCATTCCCGCTTTCAGGTTACATGGCTACACTCCCGCCCAGAGCTAGCCCCCAGAACAGACTGGTCAGGGGGACACCAGTTGAGGGTGAACAAGGGGAGGCTGGTATGGGGGAACCGTTGCAGGCTGAAAGCAGCAGGCCGCCGTGCCCTCCAATGCACAAAGTACGGACGGAGTACTACTGTGTAGACCTTGGACCACCTCGCCAAAAAAGATGACTCGATCCACCGCGGAGTCGGGAACCTTGAGCCTGGAGTCTTGAGCCCGAAGCCTGAAGCCTGAATCACTTTGGATAAAAGGGGGCAGGGCTGTAAATATGGACATGGACATGGGCTCGGCCGTGTTTCCTACGTAATCGGGTCTGGAGACCACGTCCCGTGCGCCAAACGGTCTGTTCTACTTCCTTGTGCAGCCTGCTTAATGCCGGGGTTTGACGTGCGTGGTGGTGGACTGGGCGATTTCAAGATGCGATACCGATTTAACAACAGGACCATCCTATCCTTCAGCAAACAAGGCTCCTCTGTCTGTGCCGTAAGAATACTAAGTGTGTGAATGCCCATGCTTATCGCACGGGACACTGTCCGATGGCGAAATAGACATGCGACACCTGTATCGGAGGGTCGGACAGCTCGGCAAGGCGACGAGACTTGGGCCCGACGCGTGAGCCTCTGTGAGCTTATTCGACTGATGCCAACGACAGCGCCAGAGGTAAAAGGAAGGGCTGGTCGTGGCAGAAATAATCAGACGGCCAGACTGAGTTTTGCCCATTGTCGATGTGCAAGGGGAATCGGCACGAAGCCGTTACCGCTGGTATTCAACCAGCCCATCCCGGGCTCTCGCGTACAGAGCTTGCCTCAATGCTGAACAATACCCTGCGGCTCCGCGATGCTGTATCGCCGCGTCGTGATCCGGGGCATTCGTTGCCGGCCATTCACCGAGGGGGGGGGGGGCTCTCTCGGTACGTTGTCATGTTGTCCATCGCCCGCCGCCGCTGTCGTGGTTAGTCGTCCGCGCGCCTCTGCCAGCTGCCGTGGTGTGCCATGGCTTTCTCTCACATTTCATCTGCATAAGGTACAGGGAAGCTAGGGCAGATGTTCGGAAATAGAGCAACTGCCCAGTACCTCAAAGCCTCGGGCTCCATGGCTTTTCTTCGCACGGAGCGCAAAGTATCGGTATCCAAAGGTCTCGTCGAGGCAGGGCAGTCCGCGTCCAGTCGCATCACTCGACATGCCAGGCCTGTCGTTGGCTGGCTCAGCGGCAAAGTGGATTGGATGGAGGATCCCGCGCTGGATATTCCATGGCCCGGGGTTGTTCCAGAGGCAGGCCAAGCCTGGCCCGGGCGAGTGTCCGCTGCGAAATTGAGTTTCCCACTGGTGCTCAGCTAGGATATGATCCGAAGCAAAGACGGTGTGTGACGCCCGGTGAGGTGTGAGTGCTAAGTTAGATTGACTAGTTGAGTGGTGTCGCACGCCTACGCATACACCGGCCTGGCATGGCACGGCGGATACGTACAACCAAAGCAACACACCCTTTTATTGTTCTTTTCTCTCGACGTTTCTGGTGTATTTTCCTTCTGTGCCTGGCTGATCCGGTTTGTGCGGCATTGACAATCAAAGGGATTTGGCTGGAAAACAAGCTGCTGCGGTAGCTTGGTGCGTATAGGGATTCCGTATTCATCCCGTTTCTGCCCTGCCTGACAAGAGCCATTGCGATGAAATGCGAAACATACGCGACCAGGTCAGGCCGCTGTCGCTCACTCAAATCGACGTGCTGACAGTTGAGGCCGTCAGCTCCAGCCAATGGCAAAGAACTCCGAGGTAGATCGAGACCGATAGCCGGAGAACGAAGTGGCCGTGCTGCTAATAGGCCCCGTACCCTTTTTGGAGGGGCAGCTCTAGCCTCTAGCCTCTGGGTGCATTGAAGAAAGCAGCACCCTCACCAGTCCATGGCAGGAAAAAGGAAGGAAACAGTCCAATGCTAGTGGCTGCAATTGACACACGTCTGGAAGGGAGCTAGGTAGGTATTGATGTACCACAGTAGAGCAGAAAAGAGATGGGAGACACTTGGATACATCGGTACCAAAAGACGCTGATCAGGGTTCTCCGTATCCAACACGGTGCCTCGTGGTCAGCCGGGTTTGGTAGGTACATCGTCCGCCGTAGCCCATGGCGGGACTCTTCTGTACCTCGGGCCACTCGAAGAAAGCCGGGAAGAGCAGGTACCGAAGTTTCTCGTCTTTTGTGGATGCAGATGAGTTGTATTGATCTGTAGGTGGCACCAAGACAGCAAGGCGTCCAGACTCCAGTGCGTGTACTTGCATATGTGGGAGGTAGGGGTTTCCACATCGTAGCCAATCCAGCGCAAGTTAAGCAGCCCGTAGTGCAATGGAAATGATGAACGAGGTATCATCGAAGCGGCAAGATGAGGTCAGTCCAGCTGTGGTTCATCGTCAGTCTGCGGTTCGTATATCTAACTAGACTCTGGAGTAAACCGCCTTGGAAATTGACGAGACGTTGATGCTTGGGTTGCTTGAGTTGCTTGGATCGGCTGGCGCATGGTGAGAATGTACGTGTGGCCTGGTGATGAACGGAGTTCCCTCGCTGTGCCATTGAGAATCCGAAGACAGGCCACAAGTCGGGATAGGTATGGAGGCCGTCGTGAAAGCTAAGGCTAGGTAAAATGAAGGGTTCTGGAGGCTGAAGCACCCGCTCATTCCAATCATTGCTGCGTCGGTGGCCGATGGAGCCATGGCCGAATGGCATGCATCTTCTTCTTGTTTCTGCTGCATCAGGCCCGTTTCTGTTCGCATGTTGCAGGTTGCAGACAACTCTGCATCAGCATCAGCGCGTCGGGTATCTGATGGGCCAGCCGACGCCCAATGGTGGGCTTCCGTGCTCAATTGTTGCTCATCTCTGATTCGACATGCGGCAGCGATTTATTGTCTAACATACGTTTCTCGTCCAGCGTTGAAACCTAGGGCGAAGGATCCTGGAATAAGAGACTCAAAGTATGTCGATAGCCATGGGAACAAGGTGTTCATTGTTGTTCGATATAGTGCCTGGGATGGTGCAAGTACAGCAGCGGCTGGAGCCCGACAGGTCGAGAGGCGCCGACCAGCAGAACTGAAATGGTAGACGGGGAGTTGTATTGAAAGAACATGTCGTCAGGTAAGCAGAATCAGTCGATCGATTTGCGAGCCCGCGGATGCTGGTGGTCTGGCGGTGCTGGTGGATTGGAAGCTGGGGGAGCAAGGGCGTTGTCGCGAGAGACGCTGTGAGTGGCTGGCGAAAATGGCGGCACCCTGCCTCTTGCACGCTAGCGCTGCTGCGTCAAGCTGCAACGCAAGTGCAAGTGCAAGTGCAAGTGCAAGGGCAAGGGCAACTGCGAATGGATAGCGACGGAGTAGCTGCTTGGAAATGTGCAGGTGCAGCTAGGTAGCTATCCAATTCCAAGGGAACTCGGGAGGGCCTATCTGGGGCCTGGAGGTCGAGGTGCAGCAGGACAGGGCCGAGTGCATGAGCGGATGCAAGGCAGTTCGTAGTTGTGTCGTGGATCGTGTGCTAAGGTATTCGTAAGGCACGACTCAGAAGAAGCACATTATCACACCTCTACGCAGTGGTGTAAGTGGTGCACCCTGCTTGTTGTCTGCTAAGGTGCTATGTGATCTGGTGTATGATTTGGTGTTTAGTGTTTGAGACAAGAAGCTCCCCGTCCTCGGGCTGTGGAAAGGCACGTACCTCACATGGTGGAGACACCTACCATCGATGATTGGGTGACCGTGCCACCATATTAGATCCCACCAAGCACAGTGCGGCGGGTCCCACTCTGTCGTTCCGTGGTGCAGTCGCAGGAAGGTACGGAGCAAGGAGTATCGACCACCTGCTTCTCATGTTCGTGACTTCCTTCATAATGGCAAATGCTGCCTTCCCACTACCTATCACTTTATTTCCATTCACCTCCACGGACAATACCCGAGAGAATGGAAGGCACGATGAACACCCGACATCCTTATCTTAGGTCCACTCACATAATGAGGTAAGGTACAGTATCAATAGAAATGTCAAGACTCGAAAGCAATTCAGGTCCAGGACCCAAGCCTGACGTTTATTCGGCGCTGGACAAGTATACCATGTACTCCGTGCTCTATGCCTAGGTTCCTTGCCTAAGGTACCTACTTGCCTTTGAAGTGTGGCCTGCAACGGCAAGACCCCTGTTGCCTTGGGCCAAACTTCTTGCCTTGTTCGCATGTCTTCGGTGGCTCCAGATGTCCGAGAGGGTCGTCTCTTCTTTTTCGAGAATCAACGCTCACCGGCGGCCGCAACATTGACGACCATCCTTTCGCATCGCATCCACCCACGCCGTCGCCGCATTCCCAAAGCTCGTGATCGAATCACGGCCAGCTGTCATGTCACTCCATCCTAAGCCCGTTTCCTCGTTTCGAGCCCTGGGCACAGACTCCACCTTGTCACACTCCAAGACTCCAATCTGAGGTGGAGATTCGTTCCCTCACCGAATCACCCACAAACCCAAGCATCAAACTTCTCCACGCCAGACTCCACCACCACCACTCGTCGCCACTGTCACACTCTCCGTCACAACCACCACCAGTTCTTCAGCACAAGCGGTTTTGCCCCTCCATCCGCCAGATGAGCACATCCTGACATGGCCCAACCTCCTGCTCAGTCCACTGGAAGGCCATAGCTCGGCCCAGCCATCGACTTTGACAGCAATATCTCCGATACGGCTATCGGTACACTACGGGAAACGGGAAGCCCAGATACACACGGATCCCAACTATGGACCCGTCTCGGCTACGACGAGTGGGTTTCTCTGACTTCCAACCCTGCCAGGCAGCCGACCCGACTTCATATCTCGCCGCGGCCGCCGCCGCCACTGGGGGTTCATAATGCATGAACGCCTGTGCAAGCTATGGTCAGCATGCTCCGAAGTGCAAACAACACCGGTAGTTCCAGGGCAACTCCTCAGAACCAAAGCGACACTCGCACATCGTAGTAGCGTACGGATACAAAGATGAGACAAGAAATGATACGGCTGCACCTTCACCTTTTCCCACTATCGCCGTCTGCTCTATATCTCTCCATCTCTGTCATATTGACTCATCGACTTGGGTGACGGCGCTCTGTAGGCTCAATGCTCACTGGATCGGCCGCTGTACCCGATCAAAGTTGTCAGCAGCCTGCGCCGTCCTCTTAGGTTCCGAGGCCGGCGGCGGCCTCTTACTACAATCGTATTATTTACTTCCTGCGCACACAATGACGGCTTTGCCTCGCTATCAATGGGCAGTCCAGAAACGCGAGACACTGATGCCACTTGTCTCCGCTCGACTGCAGATGTCCATATATGCCCGCCGCCCGTTGTTGTCCGCCAATGACACAGACCGAAACACTTAGACAGAAGCACAAGAGGGTCCAACTCGCTGAAAACCCCATGGCACCTCAATCGTCAGAGTAAGAGTCACACGGAGCTAGCAGGGCTTGCCTGGTAGTACCCGCGATCCAGATCCCTCCACTCTGCCAAAACTGCGTCACAGCTTCAGATCTCTGCACAAAAGCATTTCCTTGCATGCAACGTCCACCGAGTATGGAAGAAGAGAAAGAGAGAGAGAGCGGGCGAGCATATAGGCGGCCGAGACACGGGCTGACAGACTGAAGAGTTTTTCTTAGAAGAACAGGCCGGGTCACTCACTTTCTGCATAGCTTGAAATGGTTTCCAGCTTCGGGCCACCGATATTTGAGCTGCGCTGGCGACAAAAATGATATCATTCAACATAGATGCCAGTGTGTCCTGCGTAAAGATGATGACTTTCACCACATCGCCCACGCATACATCTTACATCAAGAAGGCCCTGGGGGACATATCACCGTCCTAGATGTGTTAGCTGACTGGCCAGGCTTTCTGTGTATAATCATTGTTCGCGCACTAAGCATCTGCCGAGACTCGTTGGGTCCGTGTTTATCAACCTATATCAAGATCTATCACCGTTGAATCTCACGCCAGGACGCGAAGTGGCAACGGTGCTCTCACCAACATACGAATATCATCTGCTCGACAAAGAGCTTCCAGTTTCTTGCCTGTTACAGTACAACTCACAGCAAAGCACAAAAACCTCCGATCTGTACTCTATTAATAACGGTGCCTACACTAGAGGCACAAAGTCGAGACCCATAGAGGCCCGTCGATCTTATCCAGCCGCCTTGGTCCCGGAGACGCACAAAAAAGAGACATTATCAAGCAGGTACTTACAACCATTCGGTCCTCCATGTACCTCCGACAGTGTTGGCTGAGACCGGAGCTCACTGTGCTTCCTCGACATGGGCCGGGGTCTTAGCCCGCACACCTTCACACGTTGCTGTTACGTCGGTGGAGCTCCAGGGTCGCAGACTGGAATTGGACGACGGGAAAACGCAATGATTCCTATCTGCAAGTCAATAGATGGAGGGGCTTGGCTACCCGCCCTCATTGTCCAACGGCGAATCGCTTGGGTGGGCTTCTTTGCCCTCCTCCAAGGAACCCTCGCAATAACCTCCCGTTAACGACATGTCATGCTGGGGGAGCCCGTCGGTGACTGGTATCCAGACTTGGGCAGGGCCCTCTCGCGCGCTTTCCGATGGAACTCGACATTGAACATATTCTTCAGAATCTAGAGCTGTCGAAACTTTGTCGCAAGCTCGCTTACCACTCGACTCGCCCGACACAGGATACGAGATTGAAGGACCCCGTCGCTCTGCGTTGTACAGCCCACACTGTTGAAACGAATCTTGCTGCGACGATGAGAGAAAACGGCTGAGCAGTAGACGCCGGCGATGCCGCCAACATCTTGACAGCGCCCACGCTACGGATACGCTACCGCTACCGCCTCTGTTCACGGCGACGCCCGGACCGGTCAGGGCACAGCAGAGAGCCTAGCGATTTGGGGTATCAACGGCTTAACAAGCCACCCCTGTCCCACACCCTCGTCCGTTGTCCTTGTGACCTCTTCCGATACTTTGTCAGCTCAGGGATATGAGGTTCAACGCCGGCTTACCTGCTTAGGGAGACGGACATTTTATCCTTGGACGCAGCCAGCAATGCCATCTCATCCTTGGGCGTGGTGATACGTGCAGCTGTAGCACGCTTGACTTGAGAAGAAATTTATTTAGCTACCCAGTGCCAGTCCATCGACGGTTCCAAGTCCCATTTGCTTCAGGCATTCTGATAGCGTTGGCTTCCGTCACGGGATATCGTTGCCGGCATTCTATCTCAGACACGAGCTCCCCTCCAGCGCCAGGTCCAGGGCTTCTTGTTGGAAGACGGTGAGCGTGGCCCGCAATAGCAACGAGGATCAGCGCGGTCACGATTTCTCACCGACGGCGCAAATAAGTGACGTCCCTTACGGTCTGCGTCAGGAACGAATACCAGCGGCCTGGGTGTCTTATTTCAGATGGCACACTTTACGGCTGGCTGACGACGATCGAAGTGCCAACGGATCCATCCATTACAGTCTAAATAAATTTCCTGATTGCATGCTGGGCTGTCCATCACCCGTCCTTGCTCCCTGTCCAACATCGATTGCTGCGAGTAGCTCAGCCCGCGCAATTCCCCCTTGTGCTACCGATCTCAGGGCCTATGAACCGCGTCTTCGCATCAATACAAAATCTCGCGAGTTTCCGCGGCCCACGCTCGCCGACTTGGTACTCATCGAGAGAGAAGCATCGTATATTTCAGCACGTACCATGCGCTTAGTATTTTCGGCAGAGTGTGGGGAATGGGGATTAGCTCTGCTCAGCACGGTGGAACGACTGCAAGGATTCAATGGTGTGGTGGTAGCCTGGTAGGTACTCACACAAGCTCTCGACGAATCCTCAGAACGTGCTTGCGGAGCTTCCGCCGGCGTAAGCACGAAAGCTTGCTCAACAGAAGATGTTTCTACATACAACTTTGCAAGCTTTCAAAGCTTAGGCTACGTTTGTCCTGCCACTATCAGAGCAACAAAAGAATACTGGATACCCCAGCGGTACAGTTACAATGCAAGGCAATTGAACCATGGCCATATCTCAATCGATCTCGGTACCAAGCAAAGGTGACATGAGCGCAGGAGAAGGTCAACCGAAGTCTGCTTCTGCTGCTTGCTACTTGGGCCCAGTTTCATTGACAGAGACAGGCAATTAAAGACAGGTTGCTCCTGTATCCGTAGACAAGGCCGCATCGAATCAACCATCTGTACGACATAGCTTCGCGGCTCGGCACTGTCACCCTTCCCTCGACTGCAGATTCTCCAACTTTTCCCCAAATTACTCTAATCATCGAAGGGGGTATCGGGCTCTACCCTAGCCGCAGGTCAGAGTGCAACCCATCCTCGGCGACGAAGGATGGCCCCCTCCCCCTGAGTCAACGAGAACACTTGCGTTGGGAGTTGCAGAACAGTCCACTGTGAACCATTGTTAGGATTGATAACTCGCCGGAACATGAGAAGCAAGTAAGCTACGGCTACTACTACAGTAAGGGTGCGTATCTCCAGTCGATTCTGGGTTGGCAGTCTTGGACCCAAGGCGTTCAGGCAATTGCAAAATGCAATGCACCAGGTGCGCCGAGATTCAGGGCCCACACATGGACAACGACAGATCACAGTTGTTGAAACATGAGCAGCCTTCTCATTCGTCTCACTCTCGACTGGCGTCCTCTGCCGATCCACACTGATGTTGGGCCACTCGGATTGGCCTGTCTTTCAAAATCAGTACCGTCTTCTTGAGGCTGTGCAAAAGGGCATCCGTCCATCCATCGGGCATCCATCCTTGAGCAGCTGGGCCTGTCGGCTTTTCCCTGGTTGAATGGCAGCCGATATGGAGACTGACTTTCTGCAGCTTCAACCGCTTTCCTTGCGCTTGTGTGCCCTTATTTTCGTCAGCCTATCATGTTGCCCTCGCCGGCTGTCTCAAGTGTCGAACGTTTCTCGAGAGCCGGTGACAAATCTGAGAGGAGGACCAGCGTTCCTGGACCACACGCAGCCTCCCACCATCTTCCGCGTTCGACGAACCCTCCAGGGCAGCTTAGGCCACGCATACTTACTCCAAATCCGCTCACACTTTTCAGGACGGAATGGATGGATGGGCCAGTGAGTTGGTGGGTAGAAGGAAGGGAAGAGCGAGAAGCATCAAGCCCCAAGCTGATCCAAGGTTGTCCCGGGCCAATCCAGCCATCGGAGACTCACACGGCACGGCAAGCGTCAAGCAACAGAGGATCCAGGCCAATGTGGTTCTCCAACCCGAGCCAGCCCGCCCAGCTACGCAAGCATCCAGCTACCCTAGCACACGCATGGCGTTCTCCAAATCAACCCCCAAGTCAACGGCTGGCGCAGCAATTCGCATCAACACCATCCAACTATGAGGGACCAAATAGCTCCTTCGACATTCCTCCCGTCGTGAGGTATTAGCCGGCCACCTCCCCCGATTATGAGCACCTGACACCCCTGGTATTAGCCCCGGCAGCGTGTCACCCCTGTCTACCCCAGATTTCTCCAGTTGTATTTTCCTGTTCATGGACCACCCAGGCTTAACAGGCATCTTCGGGAAGTTGGTCAGGGAGCAGGTTCAATCTTGTCTTCAATTTGCCGGTCAGTCCCTTTCCCTTGCAATTATTGCTCCAGTCATATGAGCCAATTGATATGTATATCACTCGGATCTGAGGATATGTCACCTCGGAACGACGCTGGGACTATGTAGAAACACATCCTGATAGTGCTAGCCATCCGGCAGACGTCCGTTGTTGCTTTTTTTTTTTTTTTTTTTTTTTTTTTTTTTTTTTTTTTTTTTTTTTTTTTTTTTTTTTTTTTTTTTTTTTTTTTTTTTTTTTTTTTTTTTTTTTTGGCTCCGTAAACTTTTGGATGTCGTATTGGACTAGTCGGTCCTGTCTAAACCCTGAAGACAACGACTCTACGTGAAGTCGACGCCGCTCGCCTGCATAAGGTACTATTCGAGATGCACCTGCTAGAGCCCAGACACCAGAGGCCCAAAGGTGTATGCCGGCGGCATTCGCTGGGCATATTCGTGACGTAGGTGCTCCGGGTTCGCCCCGGACCCATGGCTCTAGCATCGATTTGAAGGTCGCAGTTCTGTTTCGCCATTGAGGTTTGTCAGGGCTTATCCATCTAATCATGGAGCTAGGCGACGGGGAATTAACGAAACCAAGATACGCGTTTCGTCAGGGCTAAACAACTCTTTTTCTGGTTCATCGGTACGCCAAGTGAGGATTGCAATGCGCACTTGAAGCGTTCAATCAATCGATTTAGCCTGCTTCGCCGTGAATGATCAAGACGAGGTGTCGCACCAACGCCGTGCCAGACTGCCTGCCACCATAAGCTCTCATGTACGGAAAGAATCTATGGGATATTCCGTTCTTAGACCTGTGTGATTGGTATTATAAATCCGAAATCTGGAGCTGGGGGACCTCTGCTGGCGGACGTTAATGGAGCTCTGTTGAGTTGGCTTGCCGTCCTTTCCGAAATCCACAGGAGGTGAGATGCAGTCGCCGAGGTATCTGTATGCCGCGTCTGTCACAATCCGTACTACACTGGGCGGGCGGCCGTCCATGATCTAATTAGCTGCAACAGACGGCTGGCATTACTGGGAGCTCAGGGCTGGCCTCAACAAATAGGAAGAAAGTTGTCGATGCTCTCGGGAATAAGTCTGGCATCCGATGACCGTTGCTTATCCGATGGAGGAATCGACTTGGCTCATCGTCACAACTTCATGCACACTATCCGAACACGCACATATACATACCACCACACCACCTTCTGCTGCTGCTTCTTCTAGGTACCTTAACATACCCAGCAATTTGGTCTCATCGTAGGCGTCACTAACCACATGGCAGCCTGTCGCCTATCCGGCTGTGCTTGCGTCACTGCGCGTACAATGAAGTGACGCTGGAAACCTCGATTGAGCTTGATGCTACCTTCGTCACAGCTTTCTGTAGGATCGTCTACAATCAGCAAGAGCGGAAACTCTGTGAATATTTGCAGTTTAATACGGATCCCCGCTGAGCTGTCATTGCCACACCAAAGTACTTCGGTTACAGAAAAGCAGTTCGTAAACCAGTCTTCGCTTTTTTGCCACGGCTACGTTGATTGGGTCTCTGCTGCCACTTCGCTTTTACTTGGGCCAAACCCGTTCGTGGCTCCATTGCGTTGTGCCTACTGTTGGCCCACACACCCACTCACAAATAACATGCAGACTCTGGAACTACGCCAATCCATCGTTCCATGTCGCGGATAATTCTTCTTTGCTGCTGCCAGTCAGCGTCGCTAGACAGAGAATGGGCCTGTGTCGTGCAGAGAAGGGAAGTGAATTTTGAGTCTCTCGAACGTCGCTGGCCAAGGTCGGGCGTATGGAACTGCTTGGGAGTCGCCACTGGTCCAAAATTCCCGCGCCATTTGCCTTTGGTCCAAGGTCATCGTCATTGGTGGCCTTGAGCGGATGCAAACTGCCGTTCCTGGACTCGGTCGGCTCTCAACGTCGGCTTGGACCACGCCACTTTGACTCACGGTGGGCGGTCTTTGTTCTGGTCCCTTGAGGTTCCTACGGGAAACGCTTTCTTTCAGGGGACTGACGATATCCCGTAGACTAGCAAGCGCCCGTCGCCAATTTACCCAGTCACACACTCGCAGTACCGTTCTTCAGCTTTAACGATAGACGAACAGGCGCCACAGCTTTGCGTGGAGCTATATACTTAGTCCCAAGCCTGAGTCGTCACGCTCCCTGTTCACCAGCCTCCAAAAACCACAACGGCCGTCCCTCATCTTCAGGTTCGGGGGCTGGTGTGGCTCTTCGCAGAACATTCGCTATGCTTTGAACCGAGTTGACGGCCGCACTACGGGAGGGATGTGGCGACGCCGGGCCACGCTACCAGCCCGTGAGTGTGTTCACCGGCCGCCCTTCGGTCTGTCGATCGGCGCCGATCATTCTGCATCACGGAGTAGTTTCTTGGAAGGAAAGAAAAAACGAGTACGTTCGGCGGCACGGCGTTAACTCGGGTGCGGTGGGTGGCTACGTGCAATATCAGGCTCTTCAGACGACGTGCAGTACCTGTTATTTCCTGTATGCAGTCCTGACAGTTTGCGGCATGGTCGAAATCCACCAGCGTGTGGCGCAAGCGAGAAGCGAGAGCGGGTTGGCATTTGATTCCTTCTGGTGTCTTCCAAGCTAGGGTCCTTGTGTTCTCTCGGGTTGATCTCTGCATCTTTTGGGGGTTGCAAGGTGATCTTCGGAGGTTATCGGCAGTTGGAGGGACACGGAAGGGTTCGACAATCTGTTGGAATGGCCTGGCCACCCGCTGATCGCTATCGCGATCGTCCGTTTGTCCGCGCTCAGAGATGGTTCAACGGTCGTTGGTGGTCGCGCTGCCATGGCGAGGGCTGTGACGCCGCAACGTCATCAACGTTTCTGGAGGGACTTTGTTCTGATTGATATAACGTTATTACGGCATTGCCATTCCGAGAGTTTCTTGAATGATCGAAGGATGGCTTCGCATTTGCCACGGCCCTCTCGACATGGTGAGATTCAATTCCCAATTGCACGTTCAGAGGTGGTCGGTAGCACAAGTGTATTATTTCGAGACTATATGGGGAATAGCCAATGCCGAAGACGAAGCATATTCTGAGAGCATAAAATATCTGAAGACTAAGCATCGAAATCCATTGAAGTTCACCGGTACTGCTCGAGTCTTTCCCGTATGCCTTGCTGTAGATTGACGCGTGAATCATGATGATGCGAGGCCCAACTCATGCATGATTACATTCTTTCGAAGGTACGAGTATCTGTCGATGTGATGAAGAAGAGAATCAGTTGGGTATTATTATGAGCAATCATCAAGACGGAGCTCAGCTTCTAAACATGATGATGCCAGGCTCCTGAAAGCATACTACTACCATGAGATGCCGGCATCGTAAAATCCTCTCGAGGAACCGTAGAAACGAACCGTCCAAAGATACCGCCACCAATTCATCAAGACATCAATCCGCACATCCCCCCATCGTGAATCATCCCCCTCGATATGATCAGCCGTCTTACGACTGATCAATATCCATTTCATCAACATCGGCAGCAGCGGATTCGTCGAAGCCAATGGCCGCCAGTTTCTTTTTGACGTTCTGTTGCGATCTCATTTCCTACGTAATGGGACAGTGATGAGCAAAAGTGAAGCCATCGACGTGCAATATAATGACTTGTGCCGAGAGGAGGTTCGGACATCTTTACTTACCTCTTCTACCGTGTTCTTGATCACGTATCTCGTGACGAGCACTGTTTTACCCTGGCCGAAGCGGATCGCGCGGGCGATAGCTTGGTTTTCGACACTAGGGTTCCATTGGAGTTCGACGATGAAGACGCGGTTGGCGCAAGTAAGGTTGAGACTGGTGAAGTGTGTCTCGTTAGTATGTATTGTTTGTTTTAAGATGCGAGAGAACGGATGGCGGTGAACTAACCCAAAGGCACCAGTGCCGGTTGTCATGATGAGAACCCGCTTCTCCTCGTCCTCTGCAAACTGTCCGAGGATTTCCTGTCTTTGTGACAAGGGACAGTCGCCGTCGATCCTGTGGTACTTGACACCGACCTTTTCGAGGTGTTTCGCGACAAGGCGGAGTGTTCTCGTCCAGCAAGAGAAGATGATGCTGTTTTCGAAGGGATTTAGTGATGTTCGAAACAAGAGTGACAGGCTAGGCTCTTCACATGCCGAACCCTTCACAAGTGACTTACCTCTTGGTTGTCGAGACGTCGACTTGGACGTCACGGATCAAGGCCTCCATCTTGGTGGAGTATCCCACCGTGTTAAAGTAATCCGCATCATCCGCGCCTGACGTCGTTTGTGCGGAAGCGTCAGGAAGACTCGTGGCATCCAACGCAGGCCCATCTACTCTCACGTGCGGAATCGTACCGAGACCAGTAGAAGAAATCTTGGCCGACTTTTTCCAGTTATCGCACACGGGGCAATGCCGCTCCCGAAAGGCAGAGACTGGGTTCGCCGACGACGACAGATCCGAATCTTCGAGACACTCTGAGCAAAACACGTGCGGGCACTGCTTCTCGGACGCGTTGCGCAGCCTGTTGAAGCCAAGGATGGGCATGGGCTGGTGACATCCGTTGCACGTCAACTCTGCGTTCTGCCCCAACGCCGAGACGGCGGCCTCGCGCTCATCGAGATCGAGGCGGTAGCTCCGCCGGTGCCAGGAAAAGGGCTTCTGGAAGGTGCCGTGGTTGCAGAGGATACGCATCTGGAGGTTGGCCTGGAAGAGGCCGAACTTGCTGCTCTTTTCGACCTCGCCTACCTTTTGCTTGATGGTGCGCATGAGGATCTTCTTGGTCTTGTCGTACTGGTCGCGCTCCTCGGGGCTGAACTCGAGTGGAACGACGCGTTCCTCGAGGGGAGGAAGGTCGAGCACTTCTTTGGTTCGGCGCAGGCACAGTGATTCCATGAGGGCGATGAGGCGCTCCTTGACCTTTTCTCGATTTTCTGAGTGTTGCTCAAAGGGCACCTCGATGTAGCGGCGGAATGTGGCTGGGTTGTCAAAGGGCGTTGCGCGGATGAATGCGAAGAGGGCGCCAATGTCGGCGAGCTTGTTCTGGATAGGCGTTCCTGTGAGGCACCATCGTGAGTTTGCGTGGAGCGATCGGCAGGCTTGGTAGAATGTCGTTGCTGGGCGGCGGATGATATGTGCTGTGTTATAGTCGGTCAGTTCATCGACACTTTTAAGGAATTGAAGGTTGGAGGGAGTATGGATTCGACTGGAGGCAGTGGGAAAGTCAGAGGTTTAGAGAAGAAGCTTGCCTTCGTCGAGAACAACTCGGTACCAGCCAATCTTGTGCAAGATGGACGACTTCTTCTCGAACTCTGCAGACAAAGTATTGTAGGTTGTCACGACGATGTCGGAGCCTTTGATTATGTCAAGGTCCTTTTCTCGATTTGGGCCGTGGTACTTGATGTGTGTCAGGCTTCCGTCCACGTGCCTATCGCGTTGTTAGAAATGAGAGAGTAAAATACTGGTCGCGGCAATTATCACTTACTTTTTAATCTCATTTGTCCAGTTGTAGATGAGAACTGGCGATCGTGAGTTCTCTGATTAGTGAAAAGGGGGAACCAGGTGATTGCCTGGGGACTCACGAGCAGACGATACGACCACGAGGGTCGATCCTGAGTAATGCAGGTCCTTGCTTTTCTCGCTGTTCTTCTCTTCCTCGACGGCCCAGTTACGGGCGTCGTCGAGGGTCTTGACGATGAGCGAGAGAATGGACAGAGATTTGCCCATGCCCATCTCGTCGGCGAGAATACCGCCGCCCTTCTCATCCGGCTGAAGCTTTTGTTTCACGTTGGTGATCTTATGACGATACCTAGTTTTTCAGAATCAGAGTGGTGTCTATCAGCACGCGAATCTCAAGCAACGTACCATTCTTGTCCTTCTACCGTCACCCGACGCCAGAGTCTGTAGCCTTCGTTAATGTCACCAGATTCCCGCTCTAGCATGAACGCGAGCGCCTCCTGTTGGTGCCTGCGGACTACTTAGTATAACACGCGCACCAAGGGATGGTGGTGGCTAGTGATTGACAAGAGGCAGACGTTACCCTAATAGATCATTCTTCAACCGCTTGTCTCCGAGCTCACGATTGAACTCCCGCTTGTTTTCGATCGAGTCGTATACTTCAATCATCATCCGCTCCAGCTTCTGTCCCCGCCGTTGCCGCCCAGTTGATTGCCCACTATTGACATCTTTGATGAAGTTCTCGGGCATCATCTCACTGCCTTGAATCTTGAGCACGTGTGGGTTCTCATAGCAGAGCTCCCGGCGCGCATGATCCGATTTTTGCAACCAGAGCTTCCCCTCGGTCAGCTTGTCCCCAACGACCTTTGCGATAGCACGCGGGCCGTAGACGTTGATGTCGACTTTCACCATGGCCTCGACGGGCTTCTTGGCGCGGCCGATGGTCTCGCGGAGCGCATTGGTCGGGGCGATGGGCTCGAATTCGACACGGGAGTCTGGGGTTAGCAGTCGGGCGAGGGCCTTGCCGGGCCCAGAGCGGAGGTAGCCGAATTCTGTGTTGTCGTCCTTGAAAGAGAGGCAGATGTGTTCTTGTGAATCGCTGAGGGTGAAGCGCTGGTAGGCTATCCTGCCAGGGGCGGAGGCTCGGCTAGACTCGCGCAACTTGGTGTCGATGACGCCCATGTCACCTATCAATTTGATGTCTACATTGTAGAGCTATAATTGATGAGTCGGGGTTGTTCTTTACACCATCTTGACAGAAAAGAGATAGGAGAAAGGCAGGATGTCCAGATGACCAAGAAACTTGATGAAATGAGTTGTGTCTTACCATGCCGTAGCAGACCTTGTCGGCATCATCCTCGCCCGCCGTTGATGAACACGAGTCCGAACCAGTGATGCTGGAATCGGGGAAGAGTGAGGGCGACTGTGTCACGGTCAAAGAATCTTGTGAAGATTCGGAGTTCTGAGGTGAGCTGTACGTTCCTAAGTCGGGCGCCTGTGCAGCAGTCAAACGTCCCCATGTTTCTAGGTCGCCAAAGTCGAAGGATGCGAGCTCGGGTTCGTTGCTGATGTTGAGACTTCCTAGTTGACCATCGACGCCTTGATCAAGAAAAAGGTCATATATCTGCACGTCTTCGATGGGAGGGTGATCCTCGATGACGGGAAAATCATCTTGGCCGCCCTGAAGGGTGCTGTCTGAGCTTTGGAAGGGAGTATGGCGTGGATGATATCCGGGGTACGAGTAATCTTGAACGCCGCCCTGGTAGGTTGGCGTAATGGAGCCGTACGAGGAGACGGACGACGGGTCGGGATAGTGGAGATCTTCATCTTCTTCGTTGAGAAGTCTCTTTAGCGACATAGTTGCTAGGGGGTTATCGGAGACTCAGGGTAGTTGACTAAGTTAGCCTGTCGATGAGTGATTGAGACTAAGAGTCCTTCTCGGATTTGATTCCGAAGTTAGAAGTTAGTGTCTTCAAAGCTAGTGAAAGCTTCGAATAACTTCGGTTGAATGAACGAACGGTTGTCGAGTCTATCGCGCAAATGGGTCAATCAATGGATTTTCCCACTGTCAAGTGCTTCTTCTCATGCAGCCAGTGCCTTGAGGAACATGATGAGGCTCTCTGCGGCATAGCAAAAGGCGCCGGGCGAACCACTTTTGACCACATGATGACCGGTGACGTGAGGCAATCGAAGAGGCTACCGTTTGCTGTGCAGTCTCCCTCCTTGAGGCGCAGTGCGCGGACGATGATGAAGGCGATCGTGCTTCCCGTTGGTGGTTCGCACTTCGCCGAAGGCTCGTAGCTGCGCTCCGGACGCGCACAACCCACACCGCGTGCTTTTTCCACTTTCTTAGTGCCGTTGGGGTCCTTCTGAGGGTCCCCTTGAGCGATTTGGGGGGCCCTAATTGTTCTAACTGCCCTTAGGGTCATTCTCGCACCCGCTTTGCACCGCCCCCGAAGACCCCCGGCACCCCGGTTCACCGACGGTTGCTCCGCCCCAACTGCTCGGAGTCCCCCGACCGGGGCATTTTCAAGAGCCTCACTAGCCCGGAATAAGGTCAAATGATGGGGAAATGCCCACCTGCCGATGCTTGTTCTCGAGAATAGACATCGGAGAAGGCTCCGGTAGGGTTGAAGATGACGTATATTGACGATGTTCGCGGGATTCCCATGTCGCGGATTGAGTCTTGTGACGCGGGATTTCTCAACTGACGATGTGGACCACTTAGCATTATACAGTGGAGGTATACCGTACGGCGTAGAGAAAGAAGAAGGCAACTCATAGCCGGCTAAGTCGGTTCCAACGGTAAGTCGCTGCATATGAACCAACCAAAGCAAGTCACAAGAGTTATGTTGACAATGTTCAACAGCCCTACGAAACAAAAGGGACACTGCAGCAGCCAACGGGGCGGAAGGGCGACTCTGCCCCTCACAAGGCGTCCGCGGGGCACGACAATCTTGAACTAGGCTGTAGACTACGTGTTGGAAAACACGCGGGAACTCGTGCTGGTAGGTCGGTCGTCAGGGGTTAGATGCAGTGCACCAATGCAGGTCGTCGAGTGGCTTGTGGCAGCACAGAGACAGAGACACATGCAGACAGCCTGACAGCGCGCCGGAACACAATCGCTCTCTCTACGAATCCGCAGTGACGCACACAGCAACAGACAGTAGAACTGCAGATGAAGACTGTGGCAGTGGCAGTGCTCACTGCCTAGCGCCTCGCACATCCCTGGTGCCCCCGTTATGTTTGCTGTGCGGGCCTAACGACCACAAGAAACTATTGGATGCCCCTGCCAAAGACGTTGGCCTTGGGCAGGGGTTGCTCGGACGGGGTAGTATTTTTGATATACGTCTGGCTGCCTCTTTTGCTATGAAGAGCATCAGCCTCAATTCATGTCAGTCGCTTTCTCAGTGCGAGCTGTGGACTCGAACATCAACCCCATTCTCATCTTCCTTTCTCCAAAGACTTTCTTTCCTTCTTGATCAATTCTCTCCACTTGAGTCTCTTTCCGACTCCATTTCCCCGCGAGTTTGTTCATGTATCGTTGTGGTTTACGTCGCAACACGGTCCACAACGAACCGGGTTTAGTACACGCACCTAGCTCGTGGGAGCCTGAGCCCCCGTAGCGGCCGTGAGCAATTCGACACTTGTCCCGGAGCCAGCGCCGAGTTCGCCAAGTCCACAACCATGGCCCAAGGTCTCGGTCTCTACCGGGTCCCAGACCTCGATGTCGATGTCGAAGTTGCTCTCAGGATGAGCGCCGATAAGTTCAAGGAACAGTTGAATGATATTCATGTCGACAAGTTCGGAAAGACTACTCTTGACGACGTTTACCGAAGTCTCAGGGACATTCAGTTCCAGCAACAGGAGCAGAAGACCTTGATGAACCTCAACAGGATTGAGTTGTTTCTCAGTGGCATGTACTCATTTCAAGAAGTCCTGGACGATAGGGGCATGGAAGATGTTGACGGTATCATGGCATTCGTTTGGGGTCCTATGAGGTTTCTTCTTGAGGTACGGGCGCAGCCATGAACAACCCCGATCATCTCAAAACACCCCTGACTGACACATCTTTCCCTCGCTTAGACAACCAACGTCAACGAGAGAGCGTTTGATCACGTACTCGAAGTTTACCAACGACTTGGGATCCAGATCCTTCCTCTTTCAGAGTACAAACAATTCTTTGCAGGATCCGTCAACGGCAGAGCCTGCCTTCTTAACATTTACAACGACATCGCCGAATTTCACACAACCGCATACAGGTTGTTCTCTCTCCGCAGCTCATGTAAGCCGAAACATTCTCCACGATAACCCATTTGCAGCCTTGCTACGTAAGATACTAAACCTGATCATTCGCGCTCTTAGTATGGGGTAAATTACATAAAGCGACATGGAAAGATTTGGAGTCGACATTCAAACACTTAGCCGCTAGCCTTCGGCTACACGCAGAATTCATCCAAACCCACGGGGCTCCTCTCCAAGACCGACATGCCTTTCGTAGCGTAGACTCCGGCTTCGCGGCACCCCAAAACAGCATCTTGTTCGATAATGACGATTTCCGCCGCAAATCCCACCAATACATGTTGGATTACGCATCACTGCGACAAAAGTTCAGAAAGGACGAAGCCCACAGGAAGCAGAAGCAGAAGCAGAAGGTTCTGAAATGGATCGCCGCTCCCATGAAGACACAGGAATTGCACAAGAGCTTCGTCAATAAGAGAGAACCGTATCCAGAAACCGGACGCTGGCTTTACACCAGGTACGACGCAGTATCAAATTGGATGCGCGAGGACATACCTCAGGACTCCGCTCTTTGGGTCTACGGCAAGAAAGGCATGGGCAAGTCAATTTTGTCGTCACTGGTGGTCACCCGGTTGCAGGAACTCGTCAGGACCCAAGACATCCCGAAAGTACAAACGTGCTACTTCTACTGCCAGGACGCAGACCCGGAACTGAACACGTACTTTGGCATACTCAGGGGCATCGTCCATCAACTCGTCTCCGCAGTTGACGTATCGAACCTTGATGAGTCAAACGAAGATGAGTATGACATTTCGGCGTGTTGTAACAAGTACAATGGGTTCATTCTTCCTCTTTGCGACGACAAAATCACGAACAGTGGTGGCTCGACTCTATCAACGACGGAGGGATGCCTTTCACTCATCGAGGCATTTTTTGAGATTAACCCTCGATTATACATTGTTGTGGACGGACTGGATGAGTGCGCAGGCCGCGTGGAAATCCAGCAGATAGTGTCCTTCTTGGTGGCTCAAGTTTCGCGTCTAGACGAGATTAGTCAAGGACAGTTGCGGGTGCTGTTCATGAGTCAACCGAATCCCGAGGTCAAAGCAGCCATGTCAAAGCCTACCGTCAGTCCGATTATCGGCGAAGTTGAACTACAGGCCACCGATAACACACAAGATATACGGACATATGTGAAGAGCCGGCTGGATCCAGCGGAGTTGGTCAAGTCACGAAGGCAGGTGAGGGGGAGGATCAACCCTACCGAAGCTTCATTACTAGAAGCTTCTGGGAACAACTTCAACCTTCTAGAGCAAGATATACAACGCATCGAAGAAGAGGTTTCGTTACAGAGCGAAGGTATTCATTTCACGCAGGTGAAGAAACGAGTGTTGAACTTACGCTAACAATGCTACCAGGCCTTTTCCTCTACGCAGTCCTCGCTGTGGACTACCTCTTGAACCAATGGAGTAAAGGTGAACTCCTCCGAAAGGTTTCATCGCGCATGCTTCCTGACGGCATTACAAAGATGTACGACATGGTCTTAGAGAGCCTCAAGGAGAAGATGCTGGATTTGTCTTCAACTCATTGGGACAAGACTAAGCTTCTCCTCGGCTGGCTTGCCTGCGCCCATCGCCCGCTCAAGTGGCACGAGATACAAGCCATCATCGCTTATGACCTTGAGATGGATGAAATAGACTTTGACCTTCGCATGATTCGAAGAGAAAACATCAATAACTTTCTAGGGTCGCTGGTCGAAGTCTTGCCGGGCGATGAGATTCGTCTCATGCACTCAACGGCTAAGGAGTAAGTAGACTCCGACTTCTTGCTTTACTCGCCTAAGTCTATTAGTCCTAGGATGAACCATGAGACTAACCCAGGCTCTATAGCCATCTCGTTTCTAGCAGACTTATCCACGCGAAATCAGTTCAGTGCGATCTCGCCATTCTATGTCTGCGCTACCTCTCTCTACGCTGCTTTGCAGCCGAAGACTACAGCGTAGTCGAGTTGCACAGTCATATACGTAAAGGCTACTTTTCATTCCAAGACTATGCCATCCCTCAATGGTACAAACACATCAATACCGTCATTAGAGAATGCCATGAACTATTCTCACCCACCTTCTACCACGATGCAGGAGTAGAACCAGGACGCAACTTCGTCGGAGAATTCGGGTCGGCTTTGGCTAGGTTCATCTCTGCTTATGATACCGATATCAAGAGGGAGACGCACCCAGAGTTCCCTGAGGATGACTTGTCAAAGTACATCAGCTTGCCATTCTACCCCGATCTCGCTCGCTTATGGAATCATATCTTTACCCATCAGAAAGCTTCCGCCAACGAACGCAACGAAGTCGGCATTAGCCGCTTACAAGACGCCCTCACTTCGCACCGCGAGGTCCTGGCAAGTGAGTACCAGCCAGACACGGTCATGTTTGGGAGCGACACCATGGAGACCTACTACGGGCCCAACCTTTTCAAATGCAAGAAAACACTGTGCAAGTTTTTCTATGAAGGCTTCAAGACCGAGAAAGATCGGGATGCACACCACAATCGCCACGATAGACCGTATCCGTGCCCCATCAAGACATGCAACTCGGCGCCCGTTGGGTTCTCGTCCAATAAGGACAAGGAAAGGCACGTCAGGACGTACCACCCAGAAGAGATTGACGGACAGACGCCCTTCATACAAATGAGCAGGAGGGTCGAAACGGCCAAGTTTCCGTGCAAGATGTGCGGGAAGTGTTTTACGCGGAATATCAACTTGAAGGGGCACATGAGGAGTCACTTTGGCGAGAGGCCTTTTGCCTGCCCGAATTGCGGAAAGGCATTTGCTAGGCTAAATGATTGTAAGCGACATGAGCGTATCCATACCAGGAGAGGGGCATAGCCAGACGACTATGGCCTCAATATTTCGGCTTGGGCGTTGGGTGTTTACGAAACCTTGGAGAAGGCTGTGCGACTGGATGGACATATCCATAGGCCTTCGGCGTTTTTTTGATCTTCAATTTGATATTTAATTTCAACACACTTGACTGATTACCCAAATGCTGGTTCTATTGGATAGAAGCCAGCCGCAGCAGTGCTTTCTGCACAGGAATTGTATCATGTCCAGACGCATGTAGTTGCCTTTGCCAACCAACAAGTTGTTGGGCATTTCTTAGTACTTCACCCATGCATTCATGCGTGGTACTTTTTCGATGGGTGATAGGTCAGGTAGTACGCCTAACGAGGCGATGAGCCACCCAGTTGCTAAAACTAATGGCCTGCATATTCCGCCTCGTTGCCTTCATGCAGGCCCAGCCATGTGTGTGGCAGGCCGCCCATGGACGCCTAGCTTCTTTTTCGCGCGTCGCCCCTTCCCGTATCGTGCTGACACAGTATTCGTTATCCCATCATTATCCCATTCGCCTTTACATAAGTTCAAGATTGCATAGTATGGTCCTGGCATGTTGAACAATCGCTAGTCGTCACGGATCGTTCATTAGGGCAGCATGTCAGCATCACTCCCGCATAGGCCAGTACGCACTCGAGGCCGGTCCGAAACTAACCTGGGTGACCCACACTCGAGCTCAAAGAGAACTCGGGGGCGAAACACTATCGACGCGTACTGCTCTAGCTGTCTGCTACTTTTCTCTAAAGATGGCCTGGAGGCGCTCAACTCGACTGCTGGCCTGCGGCACTCGACGTTTGTGCGGTGCCGCTCTCAAGCCATTCGTGGCTGCCCACTGTGTCACTTCATCTTGGCAACGGTTAAAAGGGATCAGGAGAACGACTGGCCTGACGATGAAACCCTCACCTTTCACAATCGCTCTTCGATGAAAGACACCAAAGTCTTACCCCCATGGATTGATATATTGGACGGTAGTCTTTCCTCCAGGAAAGTCGTCACTACTATATATCCATACGCCAAGCATGGTACGCGGCTAGAGGAACTAGATTATTGATGACGAAAATTACGCATTGCAGCAGCTGACGTTGTCTTTAGGAGATCCCATAGCCAGTTTTGTTTACCGGAGACCACTTCTTAGAGATGTTAAGAGCCAAAAGGCTTTCTCAGCTGCGGTGAGACTTTACAATGAGTGCAGAAAAGATCATCATCGATGCCGTTACGGCCGAGACGCTCTTTTACCGACCAGGGTCATTGACGTTGGTACTGTCGAGTCACCCATGCTGAAGTTATTCATCAACGATGTCGAACAGGAAGGCATGTACGTCGCCCTGAGTTACTGCTGGGGCGGCGAACAGCCCGGAAATCTTCTAGCAACCACCTTAGAACGCATGACTGAAGAGATACGAATGGAAGAGTTGGAGCAGACAGTTAGAGACGCGGTAGTGGCCACTCGAAAGCTAGGATTCAGGTACCTTTGGGTTGATGCATACTGCATTATTCAGGATTGTGCCCAAGACAAGGCGAAGGAGATTGGCGACATGGCTCTAATCTACAAGAACGCGGCTGTCATGATCGCGGCGGGGACTGCGGCCCGAGCCCGAGATGGGTTTCTTGCCACTCGCAGAACATACATACCCGAAGAAGAGTTTCGTATTCCCATGTCTAGCGGCGGACTAGGAACTGTCTATCTTCGAACTGGTACACATATGCCTAGGCATGCTATTGACACGCGTGGGTGGGTTCTTCAAGAGTTCATGCTATCGTCTAGGATACTCTTCTTCTCGGAATATGAGCTCTTATGGCAGTGTCAAGAGACTGAGTTACGGGGAGTCACGGGCGAAGGCTTAGAGTACTTGCAACCGCTGGAAAGTCTGCCCTGGTTGGCGTTTAATGATGAGGCTGGATCGAATTTTGGGGGCCAAGAGGAGGAGAAGAGGTACATCTGGATGACAGTAGTCGAACAGTACTCGCGTCGATTGTTGAGTGACCCTGGCGACAGGCTGGATGCCTTGAAGGGTATCACCTTAGAGCTTCAGAGCCTGTGGCGGGACACCAATACCTTTGGGTTGTGGAGAAAATGGTTTATCGAGCAGCTGACCTGGTCGAAGAAAGATTGTGAGAAAGACGGCAATACGGAAGTTGTGAGGTCAGCCCGGGCACCCAGCTGGTCGTGGGCTTCTCTGAACGGGCGGATCCGTTACACTGGCTTATTCACGACGGAGTATGCAGAGGTCCGGGGCATGACTCTCTTAGAGGAACGTACCTCACCGCATAACGTTATCTTGTCGTGTCCTATCATCACACTTGACGATATGGACCAGTCAAGGCTTGATGAAGACGAAGAGTGGATAACAGAATACCCTGATTTAGCCGACATCTCACTTGAGATCGGTGATAGAGAAACCGAATATCTTATCCTAGGGAAAACGATGTTTGGAGACCGTGAGCTGCTCATCGCGCTCATGGTGGTTGAAGATGACGCATGCGGCGGAGTATACCGTCGAGTTGGGCTGGCAACATTCACTGATGAGGCAATCTTGAATAGTGCAAAGGACAAGGTCGTAACGCTGAAGTAGAGATCCCACTGGCGAGGTGCTGATTCGGTTCACGTCACGCATCAGGACTAGCTGTTAGCTCGAAAGGCCACCCTATGTGGCATATCGCATTAACGTCTGTCTCAAACCTCGACTTTCAACAATGCTCGCTGCTTATCCAATGCGCCGGGTGAAGAAAAGTCCTTCCCAATAATGCTTATATCCAAAGTTTGACTGTTCCGCTGTTCCAAACGCCATTAAGTCACACAATGTCCGCTCAAGATGCTCATAATAGGGGGTTCCGCATGTACATATGTACATAACAATAACTCATTCGACTATCCACTGTTCACATCATAATGACCGCTAAGCCGATACCCAAGACAATTGCGAGAGTACTTGGTGCTGATGTCGAAGTTGACGAGATCGTCTCAGACGCCGGAACGCCAGACATTTCAGGAGCAGGACTGGTGGGCAGGGTCGATCCGGTTCCCGAGCCAGATCCTGAGCCGGAACCCATCCCCGTTCCTGGTGAGGTGGTCGTGCCGTTACTCGCTGGCGGGGCGGGAACAGCGATAGAACCGGCGGGAGCAGGGCATAATCCTCGGATAGCCGCAATGTCTTCTGGCCGGCTAATGGGCATTGTCCTGGTGCCACAGTTGACGTACTGCGCCAAGTAAGCGGCGTTGGTGTCTAAGTCGAAGACGGCTGTGGATATCAGTTAGTCCGGCAGCTCGTTATTGAAGATTTCATAGGTTCGACTTACCGTAAGCTGAGCGTAAGAAGGTATCGCCCAGCAGCGTGAAGTCCGCGTTGGGGACAATACCTAGGTAGCATGTCGGCGGGGTGGTGCGCAGCTCACGAATCATCTCCTTGTAAGGAACCTTGATCTTCATTCCATCAAAGTCGAAGTCGACGGTCCCGTTGAGATCAACAAGAGAACAAGAGACAGGGTAAAACCCGTTGGCGTCCAGACCAGGTGAGCCAAAGTCGGTAGCAACCTGCACGGCAAGCTCTTCGGGCAGTAGTGTGAGAGTAGCGCCACTGTCTAGAAAGACTGGCATTGAGCTGTTTTGGTACATGCGAACGCGGCGACTTGGCGGAGTGAGACTGAGTGAGTTCATGTTTACCCAGTACCGAGCAACACCGTCAGGGGCCTGATCTGCCGGGAGAATCGGAAGGCGTGCCAGTGGCCCGGAGAATTTCGAGGTGTCAATGCCGCCAAAGACTATTGCCCCTTCCTGTTCGTCTTTGGAGCCCAGTCCGAGGCTAAAGGCTTTGGTGCGGGTGACACCTTGGGTAGCGAGCTCGTCGACGAGGTTCTTATAACGGGTGTTGACGCCATTTCCGTAGCCAATACCAAGAATTCCTGCGAACTGGTCTTCAGAGCTGGTAGCGACGCCAAATTGGACCTGCTGCATTGTTGTTCGAGAGCCGGCGAGGGCGAGACTGTCGCGAACATAGGTGATATTCGCTGCGCCGATGCCGTAGCGGAGAGTTTTGGTGGTCTGCAGAGAGACAGCGGTTGAAGATCGAGCTGTGTCATAGAAGCCGACGGCTTCGCAGAAGCGTTGGTCAGAAGCGGCGAGGGCCCCGCACTCTGGGTTCACCCATAGCTCAAATGAACCGGTGTCTAGCTGAGCGTAGACTGGCTGAGGGGGTGTGCCAATGTTGACTATGCTGGAGTTAGTGTGTATTCCAAGTACTCATCCGTCGAGACAAATAGAGGTGCTGCTCACGTTGGGCATAGTAAGCCACATCCGAACGATTGGCAAGCTTCGCCTCGACCTGTCTACTAAATACACCACGCTTGGTAGAGTGGATGACGGGCAGCGTGACAAAGGCGCTGTCGACATCGACACTGTCATCAACAGGCAGGCCACGCAATGTTGGAGGCTTAACCACCGGGGCGGCAGGAAGAGCCTCCAAATCATCGCCCAGAAGATTATCGAGTAGAACCTTTCGAGGGGCTCGTATCCGTCTCTTCCTCTTTGACTTTGAAGTCACTGGCAGCGTCATCATCATACTGACTTCATCGCCCTCATCTGCGGGGAGGGAGAGCCCGCGCGAGACGACTTCGACATCGTGCTGTTGTGTGGCGGTATATGGGATGACGGGGAGTGTCATGAGCGTCCTGAAATCGCCATCGTCGGTTGGTAACTGAGGCCATCCGTGTGCTCCAGTGACTAGTGAAAGAGCCAAAAGAGCGGATGAGAGGAGCGCCATTTCTGGCGTTGGGGAATATGATGCGTGCTATCGCGGTCGTCGCCACATGGGAACTATTTGGATGGAATGGCGCTTGATCGAGTTGATGAAGGGTGGCGGACGTCTCGTGAGTGGATCTGGAAGCCGGTCTCAGGTGTCTTTTGGTGAGAGCTAATCGGTTGTTGGTAAGGAGCGTACAGACCAGGAACCAACTGATTTGAAAAGACAATAATGAGAAAAAAACGAAAAGGAGTTGAAAAGGAAAGCTGATCCAGCAAGCTGTCAATGGATGAATGGTATTGAAGATCCCACCGGGAGGTCGTGAGGGAAAGGTTGCCTTTCAAACGGCAGACGCAACGCAATGCAAAACACGTCTTGGCTACCAAGAGCTTCCAAGAGGTGGGAAGAGTAGAATTGAAGCAAACTCCACCGTCGAGGCAGACAATGATTGAGGACAAAGAGGAAGAATTAGCGTAAAGGAAAGAAGAGGCAACGAAAGAAGAGAATTGCTGTGACAAGAATAGAGATTGGAAACGAAAATGGGAATAGATCGACCAAGACCAAGAGTGAGAGAAGACGAACTAGCCGATGGCCTGTCCCAGCTGTCACCGCGCCAAGGGAGGGGGACCAGCCAACGACGATGAGGAACCACGGTGTCTGGGTGTCTCGAAAGTAGCATGGTTCGCACGTTTTCTTCCCTAAGAGAACCCCATTTTGACATCCCTTGTCAGTGCAGTGTCTTAGGAAGACCCTGTCGAGCATCCTCCCGCCTGGTGCGGCTGCTGAGCCAAAATCCAAATTTGGCACAGGCGACACACAACTCACGCGGCATTGGCATTCCTACGGATACTTTTTTGCTCTCGGGGGTGGTGCTGGCTTGCAGACACACACAATTGATTGTCCAGCTGATGGACGAACGACAACCTTCCTCTGCAGTACGCAGTAGGCTCGAAGAGGTCCCTGCTTTTTCCTACTCGTCTCGCCCTAGCGGAGGGATGCCAGACTTGGTAGTTCGCAAGACTTGGCAGTGGCACCTTCGAACGTCCAAGACGGACCTGTGAGTGGTCGCGACGAACACTTCAAACAATGACTCCAGGGCCTGGCGTCGCAGAGTTGACTAGGGGCCGCAGGCGAGCTAGCGGTGGGACATCGTAGATCAGACAAACCCCTGAGACGAAAGTGGACGCGATTTGGTGTGAGAGCCACGGCCACTATGCCTGAACAGGTTACCTCAGATCTCTTCAAGAGCCCTCACCGAGCTGTCGACGGGTCAAAAAGGAGCTCCAGGAGTTCAGCGGGTCGAGTATTTGCGACCTGGGAGTGCGGGAGAGATCATAGCCGATGTGATCCGGACCAATTGCGCCACAGTTTATAACCCGAAAGCGACAATATCGATGATCCAAGGATCACGACAGTGCTTGCTCGATAGGCTTAACCTGCCGCTGGCCAATCCTGGGTTACATTCTGCGAGATCCCCCGGACTCTTGGAGCCTGGCCTGAAGCAAGAGAGCATAGAAATCGCTCAGATGCCATGAAGAATCAGACCACATGCATATACTTCTCAGCCCATCACCAGAGAAGTCAAACACTGAGCGAAAAGTCGAAGAAGTTGAAGAATCCATCGATGTAATTCTTCAAAGTCTGCTGAAGAATGCAAAAGCAAGACATTCCAGTCAGCGCCCACCTGAGATGAACCGAGTAAGGTTAGACTTCTCCTGTGCAGCGCCTGACGGACTAGACCCTATGACTATTTATGGGCTCCGCGCCCGTGCTTTGCGTAGTCCGTGCCGAACGGCGTCCCCCGGATTCCGGCAAGGACTTTCACACTTTAACGGACGCAAGTTTTACTCACAGTGATGTTCAATCTAGTTGCTGACTTTCATTGGCGGGAATACATAAGGAATCTGGAGGTTGGTCTTCGTTGTATTGTCCCGTCGATCAAGCCATCAACTCGATGCTCCTCGAAGCAAAAGCTAAATACTGCGTACAGCTTTTTAAGTTTGGAGTTGTGTTCGGGGCCATAGTGCTTTCAAGATGTCTACGCTTCAAGCGTCACCACCCCCCACCATCTCCATTCCCGCAAAAAGCTCGATCCAGTCCTTCAGTCTTTCTTGTAGAAACCATTCCAAGTCCCAAGACTGGTAAGCAACCAAATCCTCATCGCCATTCCATAGGTATATATCCGCTTCGATTAAGCTCTCGACCGTTTCGCCACCGTGACTTAACACCATGGCTTGTATTGGATTGACTTGGTAAACTTCGCCTTCAAAGTCGTCAAGCTTCTTCCGCTGTGAGAGCGTTTGAGGCTGTAGGAAATATCCATTTATGTATGAACCGTGCTCCCTAATGGCGCATGGATAATCACAGCCGTGTAATGAGTAACGTGCGACGTTTTCCACTTTCGCGGTCCGAATGAGGGCCGATATCTCTTTAACTTGAGTAGCGTCACCAGTCAGAACCCAAGCGAGTAGTGGTAGGGCGCATAAGGTACCATAGAGGAACACAGGTCTTGGGACTGTTTCCATGATCAAGCGGAGTCGTACTACAGTTGGAGCCCCAGCGGTCGCGGTGGTGACAAAGGTGTATGTTTGAGATTTCGAGCCCCGCCGGGCAGGTGTAATGCGATGCGTCCGAAGTCCACCGTGGTTAACACCCAGATTGATGACAATTTTGACGTGGAATTTCTCATGAAAGCTGTGCGAAAGATTGAATGAAGTGGGAAATGGTTTTTTCTTGTGTTCTAGAGAGAAGTGCTGGCCGTTTCATGGTCTCTACTCTTTGCTATTTCCCCGAGTTCTAAGGACCTTGATGTCAAGCAAGGCACCATCCGGGTTCAGCTAACAACTTCGAAATAACTACTCCCACAATTGAAGTGGATGACACAATAAGTCGTCGGCAATACATCTAGAATCCCCTATGCTTCTTCAATGAAGACTTCGATATTATAGTAAGAATACACTGAGGCAACCGTTGGCCTCGAGGAGTACCAATGACAGAGATTATGGTGACGACAAGAAATCTCGGGAAGCGTTGAACCGTAAAATATTCTGTCGTTCACATACTGTCCTTTGGGGGCTTAAACCAGTATTTCTTACTTTCATGACCGACTTGGTGATGTTTATCATGAGTTGGGATACTGTATTGCACTCTCAGAAGACGATGGCTGTGCGAAGGCGCACCTGAAGATTGAAGATTGATCGGGAGATAAACATCACGGAAGAAGTGGTCGTAGTGCTTTCAACTCAGTTCAAGCAACGATAACGATGAAACAGACAGCTACAGTTCTATTGACTGCTCGAGACCCGAGACACCATGACAACACTTTGACACTAATTGGCATAGCATTGAGCCTTCTATGAGACAGTGACACTTGAAATGGAGAAAGACATGCAACAAAAAAGTCTGAACAGACCCCATCCACCACGGCTGATCTTGACTCTCCCGGCTATCCATGCACATTCAACCCGAAGTGCACCCGCCTTGCGCCGATCATTACTAGGTACCCTGTCATGTTTAGTCCAAAAGACGAAGAATCTTGACCCGAACGCCTTTCGTATCATCCCGAGGCTCGCCCAGGAAGCAGTCACGGTAGTGGTCAATGTCCCTCTCTCTGATGACATCGTATAATTCCAGATCAAATCGACGCAGAACTTTGGCAAGTGCAACGCACATCTCTGCCCAAGCAAGACTTGGCGACACATGATAGTTAGTAGATGCCTGCTTGAATTTGCTGTCGCAGTGAGGAATTGACGCACTTGAGTCCAATGCAATTGCGGTGTCCGCGCCCAAAAGGGAAGAAGCATTTCGTGCTCTGGGCGTAAAGAGGGTGAGAATCGAGCCATCTCTCGGGATCAAACATTCTAGGGTCTGGAAAGGCCTTCGAGTCCATCATCAGATCGGCGAATGTCATGCCGATTGGCGTCTTCCGAACCAGGTAGGTCAGTAAACATTCAACCAACTCTGCCAGGGCGACTTGAAACCAAATCACTTGAGCAATTGATGATTGATCTTACGTTTATTGGGATGACCCAATCTCGGTATGTGAGACATTCCGTAGGTGCTTGCAGCACAACTCTCATGGTAATAAGCGCGGAGATCCGAAGTGACTCTTTGATGACAGCGGTCTTATCAGCACGTCGACATTAGTAAGTTGACCTTGGATCAAAGATAGTTAACTCGCATCAGGTTGATGCGCTCACGGTCCACGGCAAGTTTTCGAGCTTACTCAGCGGCACATCCATATTGGAGTCTGGCATCGCGGCTCTCAGCTCCTCCTTTAACTTGGCAAGGTGGTTTGGATTTGAGAGTAAGTGATATACAGCAGTGGTCAGAATTCTGCCGATTGTATCTCCCGAAGCTGTTAAGATAGTGAAGCCTTCTTGGGCCATTCGCTTGGAGCCCTTCTCGCTCTGAGGCAAGTCCGATCTAAGAATCGCTTGAAATAGGCTGCCGTTGTCCTCTTTGACACCGATGGATGCCGACGAGTCTTTGATGGCCTCTTTTGCTTGACCTTCCATGTCCTAACAAAATATTAGACTCGTTCAAATTTATTTAGTGGATACACAATTTATCGACTTACCAGCAAAATCTGGGTCACTAAAGTCAAATCTGACGATACTCGTCGGATGAGCCACATTGGGAGTTCAAACGCGAATGATAGAAACCATGGGAACTGTCTGACAATAGGGGTGAAGTGAAGTAGACCGATGATACTTGCTCTCCACTTTTGGGCCTTTGCCAGGTCTTTTAATAAGTGCATGTCGCCTGTCTTGCCAAGCGCATGGGCGCAGTAGAAGTCGGTGGTATAAGCCAACAGCGGGACACGAATGTTGAACGGATTGCCCTCCCTGGCGTAATTCTTGAAAACTTCGCAGAGTTTTTCAACCTTCTCGTGGATGAGTCCTTCGTGGACAACCACAGACTGCTTGGAGAAGAAGCCAGAGATGGCAAACCGGCGCATTCGATGAGTATCGTGGTTCAAGGTCCCAAAGATGCCACCAGGAGCGCCCTGGACACTGGCACTCGGCGGGTACTTGTCACGGCGAGCGCTCTCTCCAGCGAACAGGACATCGAAAAAGTGGTGGTCACTGACGTGAAGTTCGTGAGGGTTTATGCGTACGATAGGGCCATAGTCGTCGTGCATCTGTTGAATCTTGTAGGCGAAAGTCTTGCCAGGTGCACCAAAGAGTTCGTGGTAGGTCTCATACCAGCCAGTGAATGCTGTCAGTTTGGGACCAGGGAACTTTGCGAGAGGATGGAAAGCGATGTTGTAGATCCCTACACATATGAGATAAAGAAAAAGGAGTCCTGGGAAGATCGTGACAAGGTTGCCCAAGAAGAGTCTGAAGGTAGTGTCGTTCACTAAGATACCCATGGTCAATAGATTTTTCTTATTACATGTAGAAGGACAACTTTAATGCCTGGCTGGCGAAGGAGAGCAGCTTTGAAGTATTTCAATGCTGCCGCTAATGGGATATCGAAGTTTCCTAGGTTTTCCCTCCTGACACCTCAGCGAAAGAAAATGAAGTGCCCGATACCAGCTTTTCAGAATATTTATCAGACCAAGGTAGACGTAGATGCGAGCGACCTGACTATTGCCAGCGGCGAGCTATATTATCACCGCCTTGTCTCTCATGACGCCCTGGCATGATTCTAGACAACCCCCAACCATCCGCACCGCTTGGCCACTCCACCGTTGATTAGCTACTTCTAGATGTTTTGCTGCATATTTCATGCAGATTCCCTGCACTTGGGAGGCCAGCTCAACATCAGTACATTGCGGCACGGCTACCAAACTATCCCGGATGAGCAGCATTTCATGTTGGGGATTATGGACTCCAAGGTGCTGCCCAGCGAGTTCCAAGAATAAGATTTGTTTGATTGGTACCGACTGGCTAAGAGGAACAAATGAACCCAGCAAGACGTCAATGAAGGTTACAATGTGTGCGTGCTTACCCTCAACTCAATCAAGCATGGTTGGGGCAATGCCAAGAATGGCAACGCTTCGGCCTTCGATCTTGCCCCATGACGACTTCAGCGTAATCGAGCATTTACCTCTTTCGTCCATAGTACAAGGACCTCAAATGCGATGCCAAGGCGAACATAACGCAAGGATTCGGATACACCAGCTTAGCGTAGGCCTTGCCGGTACGCCGACGACACCATCCGCGGGGTAATGAGTCTCCAACAAATCCGGAGCTCGGAGTTACACTGATTACGGCCTTTATGCAGTCAACATGCACAGCAAGAGTTGCATCACAAGCCAACAGCATGTGAGGTTTCATCGGCTTGGCATGTAGGTACTTCGAAGTTCAGGCAGGTTGTAAGTGTTGGAACCTCTAGTCCGAGGAGTGTATTCTACAGCGAATTGGATTGCTTCATTGCGCCAGGTGGCTGCTGATAAAGATAGAAAAACATCGACATCAGGTTTTTCTAGATTGACGGCATCAAAAGTGAACAGGTGAGGGCCTTCTCAGTTTGGATAGTACCCTGTCTGTCTCATGGAATCACCGAGCTCCAGGGGCAATGACCCCGAAATGCAGTAATGACGCCTTTCCCACCTTGGCTTCATTCACAAATCAAGTTTTCTCTTTCAACTGCGAGATATTCGATAAGTGAGGCATCAGAAAAAAAAAAACCAGGAGGTATGATCTCCGCAATCCAATCAGGTGAATATTCATGAGCGTCTTAGTCGTACGAGTTTGGACAAGTATTTATAAACGGCTGCCTCATATGTACAATAATAAGGACTATAATCTCACGTTGCTCATTTCCAGAACCTACCATTGTGTATTAATGAATGAGAGCATCGGCGATGGCTTGCCTCGGCGTCCGTCAGACCCTCATCCAACAGCTCAGGGGTCAAGATCTTCGTATTCCGGATCTCAGCCTGCTCTTCAGACAATGGCCAAAAGACGCAAGCCCTTGCCTGGAAGGCCTTCGAACTCTTTCTGGAGAGCGGATCGCAAGGTACGGCACCGGATAAAGCCTCCAGTCAGTCTTTAGCAGCATGGTTAGCTGACTAGGCTTTGTTTAGCTTCACTAAGTTGCCCAAGAGCCGGATTTCAATGTCAAAAATCGATGTAGGACTATTCATATCAACTTGGTACCCTGGAGTGAACCTGGAACGGGGAGATATCCTGTGTTGTGTAGTCCTCTGGGTGCGTTCACTTTCTTGTCAAGTTGTATGCAATTAACTCCGGCTAAACATTTCAGCTATTCACATGGGATGACCGTAAGTGTACGAGATGACTGCTACAGGTTTTTTGACTGACTCCAGCAGAAATCGATGAAAAGGGGGGGCATCTGTACGACAATCTTCAAGCCGCACACGTTTTCCGGCGAGAAACCCTCGAATACGTGCGACACTGCCTTCGTCTTTCCGACAATGAGGCCTCCCATGAAGTTCAGACGAATTATATCATCGCTTTTTTCAAAGTAATTGGCGATGCGGTGTGCGAGGCTTATGACTACGGTGAGTCTTTGGCCGAACCTCTGATCGCACCGGGTTCTCTCAGGTCAATTCGTTGCTATCTCTGACCTATTATGCATCAATCAGATCACCGAGAGATTCTTTTCGATGAGATCAAGTTCTTCATAGAGACCTCCGAAACAGAACAGCAGCGTCGGCTTGGCCCTGAGCTCCCGTCTACGCGAGAATACATTGCAACCAGGATGGGAACAGGCGCAGTCAACGTCTGCTTGTTCTTCATTGAGTATGCATATTCGAATACATCTACTTCGGGAGGTTATTGGATGCGCTGACCTTACTAGCTATGCCTGCGGGGTCTCTGTCCCGATCGAAGTCCTCAGAGAGGTGGAAATGAGGACATTATGGGACCAGGCGAACATTCTCGTATGGGCGTATGTTGACTAAGTACTCATACCAATGCGTGTGTATCAGAGCACTAACGGAGACAACCAGCGTCAATGACCTCCTCTCTCTTAAGAAAGAGATAGTAAGCCATCCTCAACGTGGTCTTTCTTTTCTTCTAATAGTAGCGTGTTTGCTGACTCTCAGTCCGAAGGCACAGCAAACGGTCGAGAGCATTGTCCCCTTGCTCTTCAGAGAAACGGAAAGTCTTGATGTTGCAGTCTCCATGGTCACTGAAATGATCCACAAGGCTATCACTGAATTCAACCATGCCGCCGGGTGCCTGATGGCTAAGTTTTCCGATGATGAAACATTAGCGGCTAACCTCAAGACTTACATTGATGGTTGTAAATACATCTGCACTGGCAACCTGACTTGGAGTCTTCAGACAGGCCGGTATGGCCTTTCGCAGCATTCAATTTCCGGGGGCTTGGCTATGCGCTTGTAAAGGGAAAGACTGCAACATCCACAATAGCTTCAGTTAGCTAGTCCTGCAGTAGTTTATGAACAGAAGTAATGGTGACGATTCCTTCGAAGCAGCAAGCGCGGAATAAAGTACTTCGGACTAAGTCAACTCTCTCAATACCGTGCTACAAGATTACGCAATTGGCTATAACGTTATCTGGTCATGTCACGATTGTAATTACCAAAGCCGCGGCACTCAAGGCCCTTAGCGCTTATGAATCAGGTAAGGTAGCTAGCTCATCGTATGAACTTCATTTGTAATGGCCATACCTGCTAATTATAATTGCCGTGATCTGGCCGTTTCCCCATCGACTGCGGCATGATGCCGGCATACAAGTCTCTAGTTTTCTCCAATGCTGATTCTTTTTCAATCTTCGACTAAGTCCGCCGGATTGAAGTACCTAAGACGGGGCATCTTGGAATGATACGTAATTTGATATTACCCCTCTTCCGTAGTACGTATCTATGCACCAACGCCATGTCACAGTCGATGGGATATGAGCTGACTAGATCAGTAGTCAAGTTAGACGCGTTGTTATTTCAGAGATATTCAACGGAAAGCGTTGGTGAAAGAGCACTTACGTGCAATCTTCACCTCTCGATAGTGCAGTTACATCGATCCACCGAAGAGACCCATATACCATGGTGCAAGCGATCCCCGAAATAAGCAGGCAATGGAAGGTTGTCGGTGAAAATGGATTAGATTCTCTACAGTTTTCGGATGAGAAGTCTCCAGAGGTCGGCGATAGCCAGGTTCTAGTCAAAAGTTGGTGCAACACGTTATCCCTGATCGCCCCTTTGTACGTGTTATGATCACTAACACCTGCTCCTAGTCCAAGGCGCCACCTTGAACGTTAGTACTCACTCCTGTTTGATTTATATTCCAGTTGACTGAGCTTGCCGATAGTACCGAGATGTCACAATTACTGAGGGCACATACCCTTGGGACGTCAAACCGGACGTTGTCCCAGGGTCTGACGGCGCAGGCACAGTACTAGCTGTCGGAAAGCACGTTACCCGATTCAAACCAGGCGATGAAGTGGTTACGGCGCTAGCTCAGAGATACATCGCAGGTCCACTTAGCGACGACCTTCCAGAGTCTGGACTTGGTGCCGTACTCGATGGCACTTTTCGCACCATCGGGGTCTTCAGCGAGCAGGGTCTCGTCCCGCTGCCTCGAGGCTTGAGCTTCATTGAAGGCGCAGCCCTGACTTGTGCTGGCGTTACTGCTTGGAACGCCCTCTTTGGACTACCCGGCAGGCAAGTCTCGGCCGGGCAATGGGTTCTCACGCAGGGTACGGGCGGAGTAAGCATCTTTGCCATTCAATTCGCCAAAGCCGTCGGAGCGAGTGTCATTGCCACCACTAGCTCTGCCGAGAAGGCCAAACTTCTTGAGAGGCTCGGTGTTGACCATGTCATCAACTATCTTGAGACGGTCGATTGGGGAAAAGAGGCCAAAAGGTTGACCGGAGGCGTTGGCGTGGATTTGGTCGTCGAAGTTGCGGGACCAACGACTCTAAGACAAAGTCTTGTCAGCTGCAGACTAGACGGAACTATCATCACCACGGGGTTTGCTGGCGGTAACCCGTCTGAGCACGACATGCCAACGTTTTTGGATTCGTGGCTGAGCCTAGTTACGGTTCGAGGAGTTTGGTGTGGCAGTCGGCTACAGCTTGAAGAGATGTCTCGAGCCATCGAGGCCGACGTAGACAGGTTGCGCCCTGTCATTGATCCCAAGGTCTTCAATCTGGAACAACTAAAAGAGGCGTACGAGTATCTGCGGTCAGGAAAACACCAAGGAAAAGTTGGCATTGAGATCAATTGAAGCGGCTGAGCATTGCTCAGATGGAAAATGTCTTTAATTCGCAATTCCTCCACGAAGGATGTCTCTTCGATGCAAAAACAAGGTTTCTTATGCATTCTTCGCTGTGCATCACTTGTGGACATGAACCAGGTCTTGATCTTTCTCTGTAACTCATCATCGTTGTTCAGTAGACACCAATAATTCAGAGTTTATTGGGTAGGAAAGCCCCATCAGTATCCCAAGAGATATGTCTCTGGAAGCATGCATTAGTGAGGCTCAAGGCAACCTTTCTGACTGAGTTTGCACTTGGTCAGAACGATGTACTCAGGGTGTTTTAAACCTTGACTTTGCGGCACAAAATACCAAACATCATGAATGCAGCATGAAGAGCAAATTGGCAGGACATTTGCTATTCGTATAGGTAGACGCATCGATGAACGAGGATAGTCTAAGAGACCCAGCAACTGATCATAGACCAAGGTACAACACCAACTTCGTCAAATGACTTATAAACTGTGCCGACAACCAACTTGCTGCTTTCTGTTGAGTCATGGCTAACTTATCTCATACTCACCAATGCAGCTCAAGATTGAGAGATGCAAGAAGCAAAAGTCTAAGCTCCTAGTATTTGGCCAAAGCTTCCCGAAAGGAGCTTCTCCGCAATGGGTAGACAAAGTCAATTATACTACACTCACTATAGGCACATGGCCTGTGTTATGCCCTTTGTTTTCAATAAGAGTAGAGTTCATGCAAACTTCGTGCCCCTAACTCTAAAGTCAAAATTTTCTGCCGGCAGATTGTACCCTCAATCCGAAGCAATTCTGCCTCAGAGTGTCAACATCCTTCTACCTGCGGGGCAGAGATGTGTCACTGAGATCAATTTACGTCATTCATCCTTTTCATCTGCTCTCATCTCCAACACTCATGCTCATCTGCACATGTTTCGGATGATTGCTGACTGATATTTCGCTCGCGACCAATTCGTCTAGTCTTAAGAAGGAAACTTCCAAACTCTCCTCACTCAATTGCCAGGTGCATCTTAAGCAAATCGTTCGGCTGAGCATTCGGCAAAATAGTCCCTCGCTTAGCGATTGTCCACCAGCGAGAAGAACGGATCGTTAAACTTCCCGGGGAAACGAAACGAAAAGAGCGTTGCCCCAAAACGCAGAGACCATGACGGGACGAAGCTGAGATGGTGCGCGTGTCCAGCTGGGAAGCAAATGCTTGATTCAGGCCAATCGTCTTGCAAAGATGTCGGACGTTAAACGTCCCGATACCTCACAAGTGCCATGCGTCTAAAACCTTCCGACTTTGGCGCAAACTTCATTAGATGACCAGAGCTCATCGTTGTAAACATGACTTGCTGAGACTGCGCTTATTGATGAATTACAACATCTCAACTGGCTTTTGAGGCTTCAACAACGCCTGTCCCACATCCCGGCTCCAACCTCTGTAGCGAGTGTCAGGTTGATTGCAGATTCGTGGAATTCGATGGGGGTCCCTGCTTTCGGGCTCTAGGCCGGTTGGTTCGACGCGCCCCTGACTCAAAGAGATTAGTCGGTGGAGACGGGAGAGAATAAGGGGTGGTGCGCCTCAACTGGGCAGAAGATAGCAACTTCACCCGCATATCAACTCGCACTCTAACAACGCTTGTTGGTCGATGTCATGTTCCTGATTGACATGAAACGCTGTCATTAGAAAGATGCACGTCTTGATCCCCACAAAATCCTTCTTGCTCAAGAATAAGCGCCTGATCGGTGCAACGGCCGACGCACTAAACAAACCTAGACAGATGATGTTGGCCATTTCAAGTCATATCGACAGAGCCCGTTGATTCCGAATGGATCCAACCTAACAAAGCCCTGCAATATCCACCGAGCCGCGTTGCCAGGCATGCCAGTCATTCCCAAAATGTGTTGTTCACCCGTTCGGACGGATGAGGGTCTACAAATGTCCTCCAATCAGTGAGGCCATATTCTTCTTCTGTTGCGGTCGCCAAGACTGGATCTGGAAGATATATAACACATTACCTTGGCACCCTACTTGGCGTTTGTTTCCCCAGCCAGTCTCCGATTCTCACCACCACTCACTTTCTTGTTCGATTCACTACCGTCGTTCTCTTTTCTCCACGCCAAGATGGCCAAGTTTTTCGCCCCTGCTGCGGCTCTGCTGAACGTCGTTCTGGTAGCGGCGTCTCCTCGTGGCCACCACGGATCTCACATTCGTTACACAAACACCATTCCTCGCGCAAGCAACGCAGTAAGTCAGCCCTATGCGATCCACCATCCATCTGATGCGCGCCAAGACCCGGCAATCTGACTGACCCGTTTCTCGCCCACTTTAGACCGGCTGCGTTGTCACCAAGTACGACGACATTGCGAACGCCGTCAAGACATGCACCGATATCACGCTCTCTAACATTGCTGCGCCCTCCAACGGTGCTATCGATCTCTCCAAGCTTCAGACAGGTACCAAGGTCACCTTTGACGGCACAACCGTATGTTTTTTCTCGACTTGCCACTGGAAGAAAGATCTGGTGCTAACTCCGCGCTCAGACTTTTGCCGATACCGTCGACAGCAGCTTCGACCCCATCATCATCTCCGGAACCAACATTGTTGTTACTGGCGCTCCCGGACATGTGATCGAGGGCAATGGTGCGGCCTACTGGGACGGTCTTGGATCCAACGGTGGTGGCGACAAGTGAGTGACTACTTCCTTAAGGCAGACGAAGATTTTGAGCTAACCAGTGAAATCAGGCCTAACCACTTCGTTGTCGTCAAGAAGACCACCAACGCCAAGATCACCAACCTGAACATCAAGAACTGGCCCGTCCACTGCTTCTCCATGACCGGCAACCAGGGTCTCACTGTCTCCGGCCTCGTCCTCGATAACTCTGCCGGTGACGCGCCCAACTCCAAGAGCGGCAGCAAGGCCGCCGCCCACAACAGTGACGGTTTCGACATCTCCTCCAGCGACAACGTCCTTCTCGAGAACATCAAGGTCCACAACCAGGACGACTGCGTCGCCGTCACCAGTGGAACCAAGATCACTGTCAACAACCTCTATTGCTACGGAGGTCACGGCCTCAGCATCGGCTCCATCGGCGGCAAGAGCAACAACACCGTTGACGGCGTTGTCTTTTCCAACTCCCAGGTCGTCAAGAGCTCCAACGGCTGCCGTATCAAGTCCAACTCCAACACCACTGGCGAGGTCAGCAACGTCACGTATAAGAACATCACCCTCACCGATATCGACACCTACGGCATTGATGTCCAGCAGGATTACCTCAACGGTGGCCCAACTGGCTCGCCCACCAACGGAGTCAAGATTTCTGGCATTCACTTCATCGATGTGACTGGAACTGCCACTAGCGACGCCTACAACTACTACATCCTCTGCGGTGACGGCAGCTGCTCCGACATCACCTTTGAGAACACCAAGATCACGGGAGGCGGCAAGACCAGCAGCTGCAACTTCCCCGCCAGCGGATGCCCGGCATAATCGAAAAGACCGTTCTCTGTAAATATTCAAACAATGTGAATAAGGATACAACGCATATATTACGATCTCGTTTTCGCCGACGGCTTCGGCAATCCGACACGGGGCATGTGGGACTTGCGGCGCCGGGTGGGTCCTGGAACAGCTTAGCTAATTGAATCATCTTTCATCATCAGATGCCCTAGCTCGCTCAGTGAACAGTGAACTGACATGTCGGCTAATCAAGTATGAATGATCTTTATGACGGTTATCGAGACTTTCGATACATCCCTAGATATTGGTGACCGTATTGTAGCTTTTGTTGGCTCCTCATTGTCACGTCTTCTGGCAGAGCCGATGTGTTCCGTCCACAGTCTTTTAGGGGCTTGACCAGCACCCTCCGTGGCGCCTTGGCAGACCCCTCAGACTGCATTTAAGCAGCAACGACCCCTAACCCCCCAAGCCTGCACTACCTTACCGTCCTTCCTATGAACATTGCAGCGACCGGAAATGGACTCTGAAAATACACGAAATCAGCCTTCGAGCGGCGCACCACGTCGACAAGCGCTCAATGTGAGCATTGACGTCAAAAAAGGCTGGGCGTTGCTAACAATCTCGCAAGGTCTGCGCGCCATGTCGTGAGAGGAAGACGAAATGTGATGAAGCGAAGCCTTTTTGCGGGCGATGTAGAAGGTTGGGGCTGCAATGTGCATATATCGAGACCGTCACATCAAAGTAATGTAGTATGCTTGCCCTAGTGAAGAGTTACAGTCGACTGACTTTCATCAAGGAAGAACCTCTCTGTCACGGAGTTGAATGACACACTGAAGCGGATGGAAGCTAAGCTGGATGCTCTCATGGAGAGTACTCACGACTTTCGAATCACTTCAGATGGGCAGTCACGGCTACAGAACCATCACGAACCGACAGTTGAGAACCCTGACCCGATGGAAGCAGTCAGTCCGATGAGCGTATTCTCGCCTTCCAAGCTGGGATCGGTCCAGATCCGCCAGGAACTCGCCATCCCGGAGAAGCACTACACGGCACCACAGCATCTTCTCTCCTGGCCTTGTTCTCCGGTTATTATGACGGAGCTTGATCTACGATACCCAGTCGCGTTGGAGATTCAACGACCCAAGATACGCAGAAGTAGAGCACCCCCACGATGCCTTGTTGAAAGTTCCTCGCGAGATGATGGCTGGCTGTCCAACCTGTCGCTGGCGCAATTGCGTGACCTAGCCGACTCTTACTTCAGTCACTTCCACCCGCAGTATCTTGTGTTAGACAAAGACCGATTCTATAGCCATCATCTCAATCAAGCTCTCAGAGTGGGGTTTGCTCGCAATCTTGATAGCTGCTTGGTGGCACTCGTCCTCTCGCTCGGCTCTGTAGCTGCCTGCCAGACTGGTAAAACAGAATGGGCCCAGTCCGACTCAACGGATGCCATGTTAGATCACGAGGCTGGTCTCGGGTTCTACACCATTGCGTGCGATATGTTCCGAGATGTTGAAGAAACCGACTGGGTGAGCGTCCAGTGTCTTTT